TCTTTTGGGTATTCCTTTTGTATCATACTTTCAGGATTCGTCGCGGATTCCTTCATGAAGCTGAGTTATCTTCACCTAGCAGAAAGTCGCCTCATGTTGTTTGGTATATCAAGTTCCGTGACTATTTTGCCAGTTCTCTCAATTTCCATCATCAAGCCGAACGTTGCCTACTGTCTCGTTCTGTTCCCGTTAGAAAAATAAATTATGAGATTCATGATCATAAAACGCTACAGAAGTGTTTTGATTTAATTAGTAAACATTTGCACCTTAGCACAAGAACATGGTTGGCGGCAATTTTCGAATGGTGTCAAACCAAATTTCTTTACTGTCGTGACAGTTTATTGCGTCATGAAATGTCTAACAATCATGAGAGAAGGATATCACAAGAGATAACGACCAAGTCGCACATAGTTAATTGCACAAGGGCCATTCACACAAGCCAATATCCAATTAGCGATAGCGGGCTTGGTCAGCCACGGTTCAGTTCCATTTGGGTCATAAATATCTGCAGTAAAATAGTGAATCGATTTCAGGTTGTCAAACTATTTCTCGGAATGAAGAAAGTCTTATTTGGTTGCATTTCAGCGAGAAGAACGAGCAACTGAACAGCCAGCTGGAGCGTTTACGAAATGATCTGCGCGCAAGGGACGATATTGTTCGCGAGCTGACAAGTGAGGCTGTATCAATGAATCTATCTATCCAGTTAATTCTGTTTGTTTGTTTGCCTGTTTGTTTCCTACTACTGTGCCAGTCACCTATTTTGTTAGTACCACTATTCTCACCATTGTTCCATGTCGGTTTAGGTCAATTGGAGCACCTGACAAAAATCACTCAAACTCAGGAAGCCGAATTGCAGACCGTCAAGGTGAGTTCGTCCTTTCTTTGTCTTGTTAAGTATTCATTAATCAAGATAGAACTAGTCACTAATTCCATGCAACCGTATGTCTTTGTGGATAACATTGGGATTGGGTGTGATCTTGACTTATTTGTAGTTACTCACATATGTTCAGATTAATTTAAGTCTATGGTGATTCATAGTCAGTGTTTTATTTTTGTGATAGCAATAAATAGAAAAGACAGCTGTTTACGGATGCTTTCCTAATCGTCCAGCAGGAATGAAATTCGGGGGGAAATTTCACTCATTTTACTTTTTCGCGACTAACTCGTGCTTGGGAATAAGTTCACTTAGACCACAATAACCTGTAGAGATTAATCGAGGTAGTATTTTTAAAGCGATTTTCCCAGCACCGGTCGAGGAACTATCTTTACATGCGATCACGTTTCACGTGGCGATAGTGTTCTACAATTTATTTGAGATCATTTTCAGTAAGTACTAATTAGTTCTTCGGTTTCGGCCTTTGACACACTCTGGTGNAAGTACGATGAATGTTTGAATGGTGTGATGTTTCACTCTCCGTCTCCCCTGGTATCATCCAACGAAGCTCTCTCTCTGTCACACATTCTTAAAAAAATTATCCATGTTCTCTTATTGGGTAATTTCAACAGCCCCATTCTCAATAAACCAATGATCCATTGTCCTTTATTCAGTTCAAATAGCTAATTGACCCGTATCCATTGTACAACCACAGTCTGTTCCTCGTTGGCGCAAATTTCAGGCACTCAAAGCGTCACGTAGTGTAACCCGTCTTTCGACACAGACGTGAACTCAGATTAATCGCATCGCACTTAGCCTTCAGATAGCGAGGATGTGTAAAAGATGATCGCTCGTATTGGTCTACCTATTTGGGCTTAGACCACACACTGGTTTGTACCAAGTTATCTATGCTATTTGGTTGTCGCAGAAAGGAAACATAAATAGCTTGACGTTATGGCATCGAACTGAAGTCAGTGGCGTGAGTGCATCTTCTGTCTTCTTTCCCAAAACTAAAAATTCCGAAATTGCGTGCAGTAACCAAGCAAAACGTGTGTTATCCTCTACCCATAACAGATTGTTTGTGTTGCCATTTCTTGTTCTGCCTCTGTATTCTTCTATCAACCTATGGTTATTTTGGCACCGTGTCTGTAAAGGTTGATGTTAAATGTATAGATGGATAAAACCATGCGAACGGGGCTTCCAGGTTTGGAAATGTGCATTCACCATCAATAGCGGATTTAGTATTGACAAACGAGGAGCTGATAGTAGCATCAATCACTGTTACCCGATCCCACCCGTAGGACGCAGTGATCAAGTAGTAGTTTTGTTCATATACGTTTTATGCCTTTATTGGAAGGAGTTCTCCAAACAATGCTAATTAATGCATTCATTTTGCACGATTGCAGAACTTGGAGAACTTTGCTCGGTGGGTTTCCCATAGCGAAGAACCTTGTCCTGCGGTCTCGGCAGAAATTTATCAACAGTCTTACATATCTACTAAAGTTATTGACTAAGACTGTAGGTTTCACCAAGTATGACATTCAAACTTCACGTATTCGGAATCGCATGAGAAAATCGATATCTCTGATGGATCTATCCTAACGAGAGTGCTAACCTTGTCCGGATGCCGTCGGATTCGAAAATTCACAGGAATAAGAAGAATTAGTGGTTCAGTGAATTTGTAAAGTGGAGGGATACCATGATTCTTATCACTTGCTCAGCACGATTTGAATGCTCAGAAAGTAAGGAAAGAATTGAGCGCAAACAGTTAATCAAAT